CTGGAATTGTTTTTCTTTGTTTGAGACAGGGTCTCCTTATGTAAGTTTCCTGTCCTGGAACTCAAGTGTGAAGACCAGGCTAGCCTCCACCTCCTGTTGATCTGAGTACTGAGATTAAGTGTGTCCCACTACACCCTGCAGTCTCTGGAACTTTTGTGAGAATGCTGTGTGTGTATATGTGTAGCTGATGGGGTTTGAACTCAGGTCCTCTTATTAGCATAAACCCTCTTACCCACTGAAACATCTCACCAAGCCCTTCCCTGACCTCTTCACTAGCCTTTCTGCTGCCACTGCCAGAAACCTTGGGTTTTGTCTGATTTTTGTGTTTGTGTGCTGATCAGGACAATGACCATTCATAAGAAGTCTTTATTTGGGCTGGGCAGTGGTGGTGCACATCTTTAATCCCAACAATCAGGAGGCAGAGGCAGGCAGATCTCTGTGAGTCTGAGGCCAGCCTGGTCTATAGAGCGAGTTCCAGGACAGACTCCAAAGCTACACAGAGAAACCCTGTCTCGAAAAACAAAACAAAAAAAAAAAAAAAAAAGAAAAAAAGTCTTCATTTTGGTTTCATGTTGTAAACTAGAGGTTGAGTAAACAGAGTGGCCTCCCACACTAATACAAAAAAAAAAAAAACAAGCATCTTTATAGCTTGAAGAAGGGTATGCCACACTTTGATCCAATTATAATTCCAATTATAGCCTTGTATATGCTACCAATCGCAAACCTTAAATTCCACCAATTTCAGGCTTTTTATTGAATCACTAAAGAGATACTTTTTCTCCTCTCCCTTCCCTGTGCTGAAAGAGAATTGCTGCAAGGTCAGTAGAGCTACGTAGAATTTAAGAGGGTTGTCTTGGTGAGCAGGGCGTTCCCCAGAGCCCATACAAGCTGCTTGAAACAGTCATGACTGGAGTGAGGCCTCTCAAAGTGGTGTCATGGCCATTTTCACCATGGTTGCAATGGTACTGGAAGTGGAAGGTATCTATGCACTATTCAAAGGAGCTGGGTTGTCATGGTGACAATTCAGCTGACCATCAATAGAAGAGTGGATTGATTAACAGCTCTTGGTTAAATCAAGTCAGCTAGGCACAAGTGGAGGGCCTGCCAGCTGTCGATCAAATGGTAAAACTGGCTGGTTTTCAAGTGTTCAGTTTATTTGAAGTAAATATTAAAGGGTTCTTAAAGTAAGGTCTATTATTAAAGCTATTTAACAATGTTTAATTCCTAGCCAAATACTCTCAGGGAAAGTTAGATTCTGCTCATTTGTCTCACTCCACCCTAAATTCAATAGGAAAATGCTTTCTAATAAACTCGTTAGAATTGGCATGTGCACCTTTGGGCATGCCATGCTAGAGAAAGACCATCATGGACCAATTCCTCCATTCTCAACTGGCACATTTTCTGTTTCCTGGTGCTCTGATTTGAGATCCCATGGAAGCAGAATGGTGTCTGTTCACTTCCTTTTAGCGTTGTTAGACTAATCTTGGTGTCACACAGAGAACATAGGAACAAAGAGAAAGTAACTTGGCAAGGCAATTCCTTTCGGGGGGGAAAAAGGATACCCAAGAACCCAAACAGGGCGGGTTATGGTTGCACGCATGTGTTTAAGCACTAGAGAGGCAGAGGCAGGTGGATCTCTATGAGTTTGAAGCCAGCCTGATCTACAGAGTGAGCTCCAGGCCAGCCAGGGCTACACAGAGAAACCCTTGCCTCAGAAACAACAACAAAGAACCCAAAGGAGCTAGTGAGCACACTGAGACAGGACATTTCACTTGGCTTTTATTCTAATGTATTTGGTAACTGTATCTTTTCCCCATTGACTGGGGGCTTGTCTGGCCTCTCAGCCTTTCAAGATTTACTAGTTATTTTATTTTAATCAGCCTATAGGAAATGAGGGAAAGTGGAAAAGAGTTGTCATCCCATTAAGTTACTTAAGCTCCAAGAACGCTGCAGGGTTTTTATGTAAACAGGTGTTTTACAGGTTGGGGAAAGGATATTAAAACATTTTCATAAAGGTTTTACCAGGTGGGTTTGCATAAAAGTCTTACTAGGTTAACTGGGCTAATGGCACACAACTTAAACCCCAGCACTCAGGAGGTAGAAGCAGGAAGACCTCTGAGTTTGAGGCCAACATAGTCTATAGAGTGAGTTCCAGGACTACACAGAGAAACTGTGTATCAGAAAGAGAAAAAAAATTGTCTTAGAAGGTAAACAAATAAAAGATAGAAACAAGGTTTTATTGGTGTTGTGTAACTGGTGATTTCTCTCCCACCTGCCAGTTCCCAAATAACTACTCTGAGGCTTAATTTTAATAAGCCTATTAGCTCAGGCTTATTATTAACTAGCTGTTACAACTTAAATCATCCCATTTCTATTATTCTATATTTTACTTCAAGGCTCATGCCTTGTTACCTCACATCTTGCTTCTCCAGCAGCTGCTGGCATCTCCCCAACTCCACCTTCTTTCTCCCTGTATGCCTGTTTGAATTTCCCACCTGGTTATATTCTGCCTGTCTATTGGCCAAATCAGGTTCTTTATTTGTTTTGTTTTTCGAGACAGGGTTTCTGTGACTCTTTGGAGCCTGCCCTGGAGCTAGCTCTTGTAGACCAGGCTGGCCTTGAACTCACAGAGATCCACCTGCCTCTGCCTCCCAAGTGCTGGGATTAAAGGCATGCACCACCACCCCCAGTTAAAAATGTGTAGCCCAGGCTGGCCTCGAACTCATGATTCTCCTGCCTCTGCCTCTTTCAACAAATCCTACCGGACCTGCGTGTGCCACCACAACCGGCCCAAATCAGGTTTTTTATTAACCAATGGTAATAAAACATATTCACAGGGGGTTGGAGAGATGGCTCAGTGGTTAAGAGCATTGCCTGCTCTTCCAAAGGTCCTGAGTTCAATTCCTGGCAACCACATGGTGGCTCACAACCATCTGTATTGAGGTCTGGTCCCCTCTGCTGGCCTGTAGACATACAGACAGAATATTGTATACATAATAAATAAATAAATATTTTAAAAAACCATATTCACAGCATACAGAGAAACATCCCACATTGGTGATGAAAAGAGAAGACTAAAAATTGTTTCTTCTAAAGTCTATAAAAATTACAAGGTAGCTGGGAATAGAGAGATGGTACAGTGGATACTTGTTACTCTTACAGAAGACCCAGGCTTAGTTCCCAGCACTCACATGGGTGCTATCTGTAACTTCAATTCCAAGGGATCTGGTGCCCTCTTTTGACATCCACAGGCACCAGGCCAGGCACATCTGCAGTACATATACATTTGAGCAAAACATTTATATAATTAACACACACACATGAGTAGTTGCCATAATACTAATTCTGAGTTTAGATGGACATGGCTTCAAGCCATTAAGGTGGCAGTGATATCACTTATGAATTTGTTAGAGCCAGGAGGTTGTGGTGCACGCCTTTAATCCCAGCACTTGGGAGGCAGAGGCAGGCGGGGGATCTCTGTGAGTTCAAGGCCAGCTTGGTCTAAAAGAGCTTGTTCCAGGACAGGCTCCAAAGCCACAGAGAAACCCTGTCTCGAAAAACAAAACAAAACAAAAAAAAGAAAAGCACCAAGGTGCGGTCTCATTGCAGTTGCTCTTCCATGACGCCCCCTCACCTTGACTCTTAAACTTAGTTTACTGGTTGGAAAGTTACTTTGTCTGTTGTCCTCAGACCTAAAGTTGAGATTTACTTCTTGGAATTCCCATCACCACCCGTCCCTAGTTAGTTTCTGGCAATTAACCTTGTAGCTAGGTTTTAACTGATAGGGTACAGGGTTCTCTGGCAACTGAAGGATAATTTAGTTTTCTGAGAGTGCCTGGTCTATGGTTTGCTTCCTTGTTTGTGGAGATTCACAAGAGTTCAATGTTCACTTGGAGCATTTACGATTGAGGTGGCTTGTAGGATAAGGAAATCAGGGCTCTGGAGGCTAAAGAGTCTCCCTTGTGGGACAAGGAAATCAGGACTCTGGAGGCTAAAGAGTTTCTAGTTTCAGCTGCTTATCTATATGACTTTGGACAAACTATTCTGCCTCTTTGGACTTCAGTTTATCCCTCCATAAAATCATGCTACAGATTTCATAGGAGGCAGGAGTGAAAGAACCCGTGGAACACATTCTTGGCAGTGCTTGCTACAAGACAGATCTCATTAGAAACGTATTTATTTATTTTTCTTTATTTCCCTTTTCCCCATGGGGAAAAAAAGAGAACTTTTTGGTTCAATACCGTGTTCAAACTGGTCTTAAAACTCACGACAATTCTCTTGCTTCAACCACCCAAGTGCTGGCTGAGATTACAGTTATGAAATACCAGCTCCCCTCCCCCACAGCCCTATTAAAAAGAGACTGGGGGCACCTCAGGAGGCTCAGGTTGGCCTTGAACTTGCTGGCAGCAGAGGACCACCTACTCCTTCAGCCTCCACCTTCCTGTGCTGGAATTACAGGGTTGTAATTTAAGGATAATTTAAGGCCCCACATTTTCTCTGAGAAAAAGTGAAGGTGACTTTAAGACCTGAAGCAAAGAAGTAGGATGGAGACCGTGGAGGAGCATCGAAAAAGAGATTGGGATTAACAAATCTGTTTATGGTGAAATGGCTGGTAGTTAGAATCAGTTCGGACGAATGGCACAGCAGATCGGCTGGGACACAGGCGCTGGGAGTGAAGATCAGAACTGTATCAACTGGCTGGGAGCCAGTATTTGAATCTACTGGACTAGGAGGAATGTTTCCAGGAGGGAGAAACTAGCCCGAAGTAGGGGTGTGGCCGTGGCGGTGTCAACTTGCTGCAAGAAGCTGGGCGGGGCTCAGGCTGCAGGTGAGAGGGCGTGGTAGAACGGGTGGGCGTGGCCAAGGTGAGCGGGACGAGCCGAAACTAGGCCCCACCTGAGGTGCCCGGGTTCCTGCGGTGGCGGAGTAGGCGGGAAGGCGAGATGGGCGGGGAGGAGGCCAGGCCTGCCGGAGAGGCGGGCTGGGCTGCTGGGAGGACCCGGGGACGGAAGAGGGTGGCCGTAGGCCGGGCCCCGCCCCGGGGCTGCTTCCCAGCGGGTTCCGTTGGCCGTGGCTGCCGCGGAGGCTGTGGCGGCGGTGGCCGCCGGGCGGGCGTAAGATGGCGACTGCGGCGGCGGGAGCCCTGGGCCTCCTGTGGGGCTGGCTGTGGAGCGAGCGCTTCTGGCTGCCGCAGAACGTGAGCTGGGCCGACCTGGAGGGCCCGGCCGACGGCTACGGCTACCCGCGCGCCCGGCACATGCTGTCGGTGTTCCCGCTGGCTGCAGGCATCTTCTCCGTGAGGCTGCTCTTCGAGCGGTGAGAGCTGCTGTGCAAGGCCGGGGGCGGCGGGCGAGCGGGGGCCGGCGGGCGAGCCGGAGGCCGAGGCCCGGAAGCGACCGGGGGAGCCGAGGCCGCCGTGGGGCTGCGCGCAGCCCGTGGACGCGCTCTCGGAGCCTGCCTGCATCCCGCGAGTCCGGGGTGTGGGCAAGTGAAAGAGGGCCGAGGGGGGCGCCGGGTCCCCCGAAGTGCATTCCCAGGATTTGCGTGGGGTTCTTAAAGGCTGCCTTTCTACCTCCGAGAGCCCGGGAGTGAGTCGCGCTCCCGCAGAGCCCTGCTCGAGGACCAGGAAGGGCCCAGGAGAACCAGAGTTAGTTGGACTCTTGGAAGTTTGTGTGCTCAGTGTAGGCACCAGACCTTCCGAGCGACACAGGGGGGAGGGGGGTGCATGGGATGTAATGCTTTCCAAAATTACTTTAGCTTCTGAGAGGTGAAGGAAACCGGATCGGTTAGGCCCCAAGCCCGGATTTGTTAGCGCGTGGACGCCTGTTAGTGTGACAGTGTTGACAGTCGACGTCTCGCTAGGATAGGGTGTGGTGAAGCCTGAGGCTTCCAAAGTTTGGGGAAGGTGTCAAGAGGAACTGCCCAGCGGGCCTTGGAGGCCTGCACAGAGGAGGAGTGGTCACTTTGAAGGCCTCGGAGCTGGGAGGTTATGGGAAAACAGTTTTGTGAACCAGCTTCTAAGGCTGTAGTATTTGCCTTAACCATATGCTCTGAGCTGGTTTCTCCCTTTCTTTGAATGGTGGGTCTTATCTGCTGCCAAAATGATATTACTCAGCGAGGGTTTTATGATTTTATAATGTGGATTTATTATAGCAGTGTGTGTTTTTGATAAAGCTTACTCAAACGCCAAGAAAACACTTTCTGCATAGGCAGAGGCGTCGTCTGTAAAAACCTTTATCTAGAACAAGCAAGGCTGTGTTGCAAGAAGGCCCTTTTCTAGTGTGGAGATGTGGTTTAGACAAGTTCATCCAGTACTCAGAAATAATCTGTTTGGGATTACTTCTTTGATTTGCCTATGCCTAACTTTTTTCCTTACATGTAGCCAGTCACTTATCTGCATTTATTACTGCTGTTGGTTTCTTGTAAAAGTGCAGTACCAGATACTCAAGTGAAGAAGTGAATAATATATAATATGCAAATATGTTTTTTAGACGAAGTAAATGAAATTCAAAGTCAATGCCTTTTCTGGGCCCCAGGAACTTAGAGTTTTCCAAAGTAATCATTATTTTAAGTATCCTTGAGGTGGAGGTGCAGGCTTAGGAGTAATACGAGACATAATGACTATCAAGGGAAACAGACAATCCAATACAGAATCTTCTTTCATTGCCATAGGAATATAGTCTTTGCTTTTCATACAGGTCCCTACCAGTTCTGTGAGTTCCCTCTGCTAGTGATGAAGATCCCTTGTTTATAAACACCATTTTCCATAAAGTTATGTATTCTAATTCTAAGGGTTTCCCCAGATGGCTGGAGACTGCTTCCTGGAGGAGTCACTGGAAAAGAGCTTTTCCCTTTGGGAATTCTAGCTGCACGTTTCTATGGTGACCAGCGTCAGGGTGAGCAGGCACTCTGTCTAGTGTTCTTGTCTAGTAGGGACACTCACCTTGTTTCCTCACCTGTGATCCTAGGAAAAGTTGGCCCTAGAAACAGTCTTGCTATTTTGTTTCCCTTTAAGACTCGCTTTCACAGAAAGAGCCTAGAATCGTCAGCTGCTTTGTTGGGTCGCTGGTCTTCCATAGAGGGAGCAGCAGCTACACTAAAGCACAGTGAAAGCCTATCCCAGGGCCTGGAGAGAAGACTCAGCCGTTCAGAACTGTGCCAGACAATCAGGTGCCTTCCAGAGTTTGATTCCCAGCCCACAACCATCTGCAACTCCAGTTCCAGGGGATCGGAGGCCTCTTCTGACTCCATGGGCATCAAGTGTGCACATGATGCATAGACATACATGCCATCAACACACACAATAAATTAGGATTTTTTTACAAGATATAGTGGCACACACATTAATCCCAGCACTCAAGACACAGAGACAGGCAGATCTCTGAATTCGAGGCCATCTTCTTAGTCTTTTTGTTTTTTTTTGTTTTTTTGTTTTTTTGTTTTTTTCGAGACAGGGTTTCTCTGGTTTTGGAGCCTGTCCTGGAACTAGCTCTTGTAGACCAGGTTGGTCTTGAACTCACAGAGATCCGCCTGCCTCTGCCTCCCAAGTGCTGGGATTAAAGGCATGCACCACCACCGCCTGGCCATCTTCTTAGTCTTATAGTGAGTTACAGGACAACCATTAACCCTGCCTCAATAATACAAAAAAACAAAAAAGCCTATCCAAAATAATTGGGAAGTTGTTTTTTTCTGCATTTTCTCATTTAGTTCCTAGAAACAAACGATGTAGCAAATCATAGACTGGCACATGGTAAATGCCACCCTCCTTTTGCAGACAATAAACTAAGTCTAGCAGGAGCTGGAGGTTTTGCTCATTGGTGCTCCACTCAGTATTGAGCTCCTTTCCTGGTATTTGGAGTTCTTTGACAGTATGTGATAGGACTATTTCCCTTAAGCCACCTTCCAGGTGTTTTTGTTTGCTTAAGACAGAAGCTTAACTATGTAGCTAGCTGGCCTGACACTTTCTAGTCCAGCTGGCCTTGAACTCACAGGAATTCTTCCTTAGCCTCACTCGTTCTGGGATTACAAATGTGCACCCTTACATCAGCTGTAAGATTTAACTTCTACCCCAGTACTCAAGAAACTGAGGCAAGAAGATCATGAACTTGAGGGCCAGTCTGGGCTATATAGTGAGTTCCAGGCCAGCCAAAACTGTGTATTGAGGCTGTCTATCAAATTGGGGGAATGGGGAGGGTTTAACTTTTTACAGGGGGCGGAATCCAAGGTACTCCTGTACTTGATTTAATGTGTTTCTAAGGGAGGGAAGCTTGAATTATTACTCTATTTCTTTTTTTTAATTTTTTTAAAATTTATTTATTAACGATTTCTGCCTCCTCCCCGCCACTGCCTCCCATTTCCCTCCCCCTCCCCATTACTCTATTTCTTGGAATATAGATAGATGTAGAGATATTTAAGAAAGGGTATATCTATGTAGTCCTGGTTGTTCTGGAATTTGCTATGTAGATAAGGGTAGCCTCCAACTCAACCTCTGCCTCCCGACTATTGGGGTTAAGAGCTATGTTTTATGTTTTAAGGACTCTTTCTTTCTTTCTTTCTTTCTTTCTTTCTTTCTTTCTTTCTTATTTCTTTTTCGAAACAGGGTTTCCCTGTAGTTTTGAACCCTGTTCTGGAACTAGCTCTATAGACCAAGATGACTTCAAACTCAGAGATTTGCCTGCCTCTACCTCCTGAATGCTGGAATTAAAGGTGTGTGCCACCACCATCTGGCTGTTTTTAGGAATCTTAACCCTATCCTACTTAATAAAAAGCTATCCTCCCCCTGATAAAGTTTTGCCATGTGTTCTGGGCTAGTTCAGAACTCAAAATCCTCCTGCTTTGGCCTCCCAACTGCTAGGATTACAGGTAGATGCAAACAGGCCAAGCTTTCTCAGAGGTCTATCAAAAATTGGAGTTTACTTTCTTTTCCTTCTCATAAACCATAGTGCCTTTCTTTCCTTTCCATATTCTCCAGAGAACTGCAGCCTCCTCTAATAAGAGATTACTGAAAAACTATCTGACCATAAATAAAATATATCTCCTGCAGTTCAGGCTGGCTTCAGCTCACCACTCAGCCTGGCCTTAACTCCAGGATCTTCCTACCCCCACTGCCCAAGGGCTAGGATTACAAGCTTGAGCCGACACACCCAGCACTATTATCTACTGTTTTCAAGAACTACAGCGTGGATTTTAGGATATAGCTCTGAGATGGAGTGTTTGCCCTGGGCTCAATCTCCAGCACAGGCAAAAACAAACTCACTCCAGAAGCAGCTATTACCTTTCAAACAAAAGTGGGGTGATCTGTCCAGTGCCCAGTGTAGCATGTGACCAGTAGATATTTGTGGGATGGTTGGAAAGGGCCTGCTTGTCTACACAGATGCTCAGAGGAGCTTTCAGGGTTACAGAGATGTCTGGTGTGAAACAGACACTTTGAGTCAGAGGGTGAGAGGATTCTGTGTGACATTTCACCATGTTATAGATGCACACCTAGCATTTTGTACAGCCTCTATCTTCCCTCTCTCACGAGCATCCTCATGACACCCACTGCCCTGCCTCTGTGCTCTCTCACAGAGGTGCTAACTCTTCCAGGTTTATTCTTTTCTCTAATATTGTATTGTTCATTGAAACCTGAGAGAATGGTCTAAGCCAATCTGTTGTATCTGATTGATTTTTGTCTGTTTTGTTTCTGAGACTGACAGGATCTCTCTTGCCCATGCCACCCTCCCTCTTCCTCCTGATTGTTGGGATTACAGACATGAGCAACTCCTGGATTTTTAAGCTAAATTTTAATATAAAGTTGTTTGAAACTTGATACCCACCTCCTGAGTACTTGTCCCTTGGGATCAAGCAGGAGCCAGTGGCTAGATACTGATATCACCAGATCTGCGTAGGCTAATTTATTTGGGATGTTATTGCGACATGAGTTCACGCTGCCGGAAGACAATTATTTTGTGAATCATGCAGGACAAGGGTGCGCACTTTCCCCGCTGCTTAGTTCAGTCTTCTCTCTTGTCATTCAAAGGCAACTTCCTAGGGTGTCTGAAGGATTTGCCTGATAGCGTTTTCTGTCACTGGGAACTGGATAATTTCACTTGCAGGCCTGTTATGTCTTTGAGACATGGCCTTGCTATATAGCCCTGGCTTGCTTGGAATATGTCGAATGAAGAGGCTGGCCTCAAACTCCAGAGCTCTCCTATCATTGCTTTCTGATTGCTGGGGTTAAAAGCAGGCACCACCACACCTGGCTGGGCACATTTCTTAGCCTGTCTTTCTCTTTCCCCTACCCCAGACAGGGTTTCACGATATAACTCTGGCTGTCC